CGACGAATGATTTACTCGATTTCGCTGCTTAATTTTGCTCGCCGCGATAAGGTTAATGAATAACGTTATTCCCTGGGGAAACGGCCGCGCTCGCGTGGCGGCGCTCGCGTCGCAAACGCTCTAGGGATTTTCTCTCGTTTCATCGAGCGAAACGATTCGTACGCGAAAGTAACTAATGAGTCGATATTTACGCGCAATTATCGACTGTTTCTCGGTGTTAAACGCGAACATTTCGAATTCTCACTGCTCTCTCGATCTCTTCATTCCCTTTTGCATCTAGAAACGATCTTTATCTTTATTCGTAGATTTAATTTTTTAATACGTTCATCTTTTTAACAGATCGAATTTATCGAGTGTTTCGGTATTTTTGAGTATGCAATTAAATTGCGTTATTTAATTGCTTTCAACGAAAAGAAAGATAAATAATGAAGATTATTCCGAAGATTAAACCGACATTACTCAATGTTGGTTCGCATATTTTTTTCAATGGCCGACGAACGTTATTTCCTCGTTTACGAGGCAGTTGGCAGGATTCTCAGGGACGTCGTTCCACGTTTGGCAAAGAGATTGGAAATTCAGAGACCCTACTCCCCCGGTTTCGTTCTACCCCTTTCCGTTTCAAACCTTTAAACCTCGTTACTATTCTTTGCCGGTTTACGTATCGCGAACCGATCACAGGGAACGCCATTTTCCGCGTGTACATCTGTGGAGTCGTTCGATTCTTATCATTCGACAATGGAAGAAGTTCGCAAATCGGAGGAGGATTTTTTTCTCCCTTTGCCTGCTTTTTTTTTTATTTCTCTCTTTGAAACGAGAATCTTCTTTCTTTGAAATCTTCTCGTTCCATATTTTTTCGAAATATTTTTTCTTCGTATCCTATGAAAAATAAGGGATAAAATTATGTTTCCTTCGTAATGAATGACGAGGATGGAAAAAATTGGAATCGTACGATTACTTTCTAATAGCGGAAAGAAACTTTGCCTTCGATGTTTCGAACGTTGCAAGATATAATTTTAAAATGGTGTGAGAATTTTGAATTTTCAATTTCTTGAAAATTTCGTCGATCAAGTGAGAACCTTTTGTTCCTGTGAAAAGTCATGAAAGTGCTAAAATTGAATAATTGTTTTTACTT